ATCTGGCTGGTAGACACACTCAGGCAGCATGAGCACATTTACCAGCCAGGCAGTTCGAAACTACAAACTGATACATCTAGTAATAATACAACTTACCTACTGAGAAAATACCAGACATGTTATATGTCTGGTATTTTTTCAGTTTGTTTTTCATGTGTTTATATTTTTGGGCTGCAAAGAGAAGAACTGAAAAAAAAGGGTTCCAATTAAAGTAAAAAATTTGGGAAACCCTGGTCTAACCAGCTTTCTGACTGTCTTACAGCCCATTTATCCAATCCATATTCTTTAACTTGCTGGCAAGAATATTGTGGGTGACCATATCAAAAGCTTTGCTAAAGCTGGCACTGGGAGATTTGGGAGGACCAGAAACAACTTATTTGAATATTCATCATTTGATTAATGAATATGCAAATGAACATTACTGGTCCTCCAAAAGTTTGTGAATGGATTTACTGGTCCCCGTGTCAAAAAGTTTGGGAACCCCTGAGATAGAGGCAGCAAAGGGGGGAAAGAGGAGGTACTCCAAAGCAGCAGCGCCGCACTGCTGATCCCGGGCTCAGCTGTGCTGTGCTGCCACTTTGAAACGTGGAGGCAGTGTTCAAAGGGGCAACGTCGCAGAGCTGATCCCCGGCTCAGCTGTGTGGCGCTGCTGCGCATGGAGCCCGGGGTCAGCTGGGGACACTCCGCTGAGCCTGGGCTTCAGTGTGGCATTTCCGCAGAATCCAGGAACAGCTGGGGAGTCCCCAGGTGACCCCCAGTTCTGGGGAAATGCTGCGCGGAACCCACGGTCAGCTGGGGAATCCCCAGCTGAACCCAGCTCCGAGTGGCATTTCAAATCAGTAGTGCAGCATGGATTCCTAAGTCCCCCGCTGACCCCGGGCTCCATGTTGCACTGCCGCTTTGAAATGCACAAGAGCCCCCTCTGGGGACTCTAGTACATTTCAAAGCTGGCGCACCATGTGCAGCCTCCAGAGTATGTGGGAGTTCCACATTCCTCCTTCGAAATGTACAAGAGCCCTCCTCAAAGGAGGAATGTGGAAGTGCCTATCGACTACTCGATGGAAATTCCATTGATTCCTCAACTAGTTAATTAACAGTTACATAACATCCTTAGTACAGAGTAGAAGAAGAGAGAGTCCCTGGCTTGAGTTTAAATACTATAGTAAAAGGGAGAGACTGTTCTTCAAACAAACCACACCAGTATCTGGAAAGTAGACAATCCAATGTCATTATTTACAATTTTGTTTCTTTGGATTTACTGCTGAAAAGTTTGTTGGTGAAAATGTTTTAAGGAGAGATCTATATAGAGAGAATGGTTGTAGTTTCTCCCATTAAGGGCTTCATCTCATATCACTTAAGTCACTCACTGTTTTTCCATTGACTTCAACAGAAGTAATATCAGTCCTTAAATGAGGAAGACTCTTTGAGTATGTCTACACTGAAAGGCCACTACACAATTTAACCTACATCAATTGCATAACTTAAGTCGAAATAGCTTATTTTGACTTTTGGCACTGTCTACACAGCAGGAAGTCCGAGAAAGATGAGAGTTACAGGAGTCGGAGTAAGAAGTCCTCTAACTTGACATTATTTTGACATTATGTCAAAATAACTGCTTGTAGTGTAGATGTAAACTATGTTATTTTGGAATAACATCAGAAATATCACTGCTGTGTAGACGTATCCTTTCAGGCACAAATAGCAGCAAAGAAAAAGAAAGAGATAAAGAATGGAGAAGAAAAGCAAAGGGATGGTAGGAAGTAAGGCAGCAGAAGGAGGATGATAAAGAATGAATATAGAGCTTAAAGTTCCAGAGTCTGCACTTATGAGAGATATGCCTTGATGGCTCGACTCCTTGACCAATCTTTTTGCCCTTTTTAGCTCACTGTACCACAATTACCTCTTGTTCTGGGTCATCATCCAGCAAGTTAAAACGCTTTTTCACCACTCGGCCAGAAGCAGTTACAGTTACTGAGTTGTTCACCTTAGACACATAATTAAAAAAGAGAGAGAGAGAGAGAGAGAGAGAAGTAAATCTGCACAGCAGGTGGTAATATAGGATGTACATTCTTTTTATCAATATATTCATTTTATTTGAAATATGGTAAAGCTTTTAGAAAGACTAAAAGGCAGTACTATCTTTAGTAAACTGAAAGTACAGACAATCAGTACAGGAGCAAATAAATAATTTTATTAAGCATCATTTATTGTTTTATCTGAGATTTTTTATAGATCTCCTAAAAAGCCTGACATGAGAGGACAGTGAAGACTCCATAGCACTTTTTTAAGAGCAGGATATCCTTGCCCTAGTGCCCTTCAGCCAGACTTCCCCTACATTTGTTATACAGGCAGTCCCCGGGTTACGTACAAGATAGGGACTGTAGGTTTGTTCTTAAGTTGAATTTGTATGTAAGTCGGAACTGGTACATATTGTAGGGGAAACTCTAGCCAAACATTTCTCCAGAGCTCAGGTTTATTCTCCCACACCTCACTTCCCTCAGTCCTTTATTCTCAAGCTGAGGTGTCTGCTGAGAAAAGCCGCTCCGCGTCTCCCTGGTCTGCTGAGGGGGGGGGGCACTAGCTTCGCGTCTCCCTGGTCTGCTGGGGGGAAGCAGCTAGTGCGGGGTTGCCTCATCCCGTTTGTAAGTAGGGATCCGATGTAAGTCGGATCCATGTAACCCGGGGACTGACTGTATTATTATGCTGTGCCCAGGCTGGCTGCTACCATTTATGTGTGATATTATTGATTATTTTTGTCAATTGCAGTATTTTTGGTGACTTGAGGTAATTATAGTTTCCACAGAAAAATGGGGTTAGTTAGAAATACCAAAGTCAAGCCAGCAATTTTGGTCCCAGAACTACACCTGGCTATGCACAACAAATTTAAAGTCAATTGGGTTGTGTCAATGTAGCCTACATCCAGGGGCGGCTCGTGAGCCGAGGCAAACTAGGCAGTTGCCTAGGGCGCCACTGACCCAGGTGCCTGATGATGACGTCACGGGGCGCCGGAGCGCCCTGTGATTACGTCACATCCATTGACAGCTATGCAGGCGGGGGCACCAATCGTGCCTTCTGCCTGGGGCGCCAGCTGCCGCAGCCAGCCTCGGACCGCTCCTGCCTACATCAATAATCTAATATTTAGGAAATTAAAATAAAAATAACCAGGCAGCAATCCAACTCATAAGGATCTCTTAAATGGAAAACCTTTAATTTAGCAAATAGGTACACTGATAAGTAAAATGAGACTTCCAATAAAACATCCCATGGGATGCAACCCCATCATCTGAGTGTCCCTTAGCCTCTGATTGCCAGAAGCTCTAATTGCCTGTTCTGTTAATTCCCTCTGAAGCATTCTCATTTGGTTTTTGTGGTTTGCTTTCACAAAATTTGTGTTTCACCAGGCTTGATATTTTTCAGCCATTTGACCTATCAGCTTTAAAGCTTCATTGCTATCAAATCTGCATAGAATTATGATTTAAGTCAGCGATACCTCCTTGCCAAGGAAATCTATCACTGTATGCTGCTTAAGGTTTACACCCAAGGCAACTATTTGTATTGTTCACCACAATAGATGCCAAGAACCTAAAAAGTGAAAGAAAATTTCAGTAATATAACCTGAAAATATAATTATCTTTGAAATTTCTCTCATACAGACCAGATGCAAAGAAGGTACAGCTTAGGCTTATCAGTTAGTTGAGTCCACTACTCAACTACTTGCATCTCCCTCCCCCCCCCCTGCTGTATCAGAAGGAGTAAGTAGGGGGAGAAGGGAAGCAGGAGCCACTGCTGGGGGAGTCGGCTTAAAAGGCTAACACAGGCAGCAGCGGGGGGAGACAGGGCAGGCTGCCAGCCTCTGTCCATGGTGGGCAAAGGCTCACCACGGGCATGCGCTGCTCCACAGTCCCAGCTGGGAGCTGAGACTCCTCCATGGACAGGGTTGCCTCCAGAGTAGCCTGTGCTCATGGTCTGTGGAGGAGGCTTCTGGACCTGGTGCAAGCTGGGACTGAGCTTTGGATCAATCCCACATAATACACTGATAAACATATACACATAAACCACCTGTATATGCTATGTAATCAAGCAAAAGTAAAATACATTGTTTTTATTAAAAATTTCCTGCTATAGTCTCACATTGTTCTGCCTGTTGGCCATTATGACAAAATCTTCTGTAATTTCCTGCTGGTATTTATTATTTTCAGTTTCTCTCAGCTTCAAGACTCTTAAAAGAAGATATAAAATGAGTCATGTTAAAATTTTAAATGTTGTGATTTCTAAAAATCAGATGTTCCAAAATAGCAAAGATAAGTTAATCATAAATTCTTTCAAATACAGTACAGGATACCACATTTAAATAATGCTATTACTATATATAACACATTTATCTGTGCTGTTTTAATATATCTGATTAGCACATCCGTTCTAGAATATACAGTACGTTTCCTTATTAAATTATACTGTTGTTCACATCCACCACGTGGTAGCCTGCAGAAATTTCTTCTAGAATTCTGGATACTGTCTGGTTTACAAATTCTCCAGTTCCTATAGGTTGCTCGTAATTCCTTGGTCTAGTACTTCTCAGCTTAAATTGGAGTTGTGTAGGGGAGGACTGAGACCTTCAAATCAAAATGTTCATATTCTAGAGTTGACATTCCCGGGTGTACAAAATGTTAATTGATGGGTCTGGAAGAGGAACTAAAATGACTGGCAGATATGCTGGGCTCATTTGAATATCATTGTAAAAGTAGTGGAGGGGATAATATCTGGCCTGGTTCTACTCTTGTCAGATGGCATCTGAAGAGCAAATCTTACTTGATTGCTTACTTGGCTCCCTCAGGTGTTATTTTTCTGCTTATGTTTAAGAGTGAAAAACCATAAAATATGCAAACTTTGGAATTAAATTTCCATAAATGAACTTTGGGATTGGATAGGAGGAGTGTTGGCCAGCACTTGGTGATTAAAGGGTCAAATTCAGGTAGCTAAGGGGTGTTGGCAGAAAGTCAGGAAAGCCAATGGTAAGACTGTTGAAATTTAAATTGAATATAGATTCCTGGTTGCTCTTCCTTTGTTAGAGTTCTAAGTTAGCAGCTGGAGGAAGCAAGATAAATAATTTCAAACAGAATTAACATACCTTCAAGAAATATTGGACATGGGAATGGACCCTTGAAGTATAGAACCGTATGGATCGTGAGTAGAGGGAAAATGTGTATTTAGTCATGATCTGGTTATTTTTCTTTATTTTGCTCTTTGGTTAAACTTCTGTGTGTGAAATCCATCTGCCTCCCTCCCCTCTTTCACTATACCTAAGCTGTGCCCAGAGCTACCATTTTGTAATGTGTTTTAATGTGCTCTTTCCTCAGTTGCTCTGTAACACCTAGCAACCAAGTATGCATTGTCAAGTATATCTTTTTGTTTTGTTAATAAAATCACCTTTTTTAAAGCAATGATTTGATTGTTGTGTCCTGGAAGGTAAGAGGAGGCCTGTGTGTGTGCCTGCCTACATTGAGAGGTCAGCAATCAGAGACACAGTTGGTTTTCTGTGGTTTATTTCTTTTTTCAAGCTCTCTTGTGGCAAAAGAACTTGGGGTACCACTTGAGAAGATATTCAAGTGTTTCTTCCTGGTTTTCAGGGTTTTATTTAATTCACTTGATTGTGGCAGCCTATCTCCCAGGGTCAGGAATCTGTGACTCTGGGGAGTTTTTGTAAGCAAAGCCTATAAATGCAAGCTATTATTAAGGTCTCTTATGGGCCCCCACCTTCTGCATGCAGAGTGGGGAACAGCCCTGACAGGGGTGAAGTACAAAGAGGAAATTGTTGAAAAGGAATGGGTAAATGAGGACTGCACGACAGTAGAGAAAGGTCAATAATCAGAAAGTTAGAGATGATTTATTTTAACAGGTTAAATCTGCTGGTAGGAAACAGAAAATGCACAGCGTAAGTTGATCAAGGCTAATGCCTCCAAAAAGGGGTTAAGGATTTCAAAGGTTTATCCTTAAAGGAAGTGGATGACCTTGTAATGGTGGAAATTGGAATTCTTAAGAAGCGTCTAGATTGTTACACACATTGGCAAAATATAATTTAACAAATTTTCCTAAATAAGCAAAATAACAGCTATTTTTATTATTTTTTCTAGAACTATTTTCACACAAGAGTTAAGCTTGTTCTCTCTAAACAGCACTATTAAATGCAACTATAGGTTCATCCTTTATACAGGTGTCTTTCCCAGCATGCTTCTTTTCTTGCAGATTGCCCTCTAGATAGTGCTCTAGACTAGGGATATAATAGAGTAGTCAATTAACCAGTAAGCAAAAGCTTATAGGTTAATGCTATAGACTACTGGCTGGAGGGTGGGAACGTGTGTACATTTTTTAGCAGGCTGACTATACATTTTATGTAACATATACATGCACTCTCTCATGGAAGAGTAAGCTGGGTTCTGTTCTACCCCATGTATCACACAGGATTCAGCTTGCCCTTCCATAACCATCTATAATGTTAATTATTTACTGTCCAAGTTTCTGTAGCGGTCATTTGTAAAAAAAGTCATGATGTCATTTTTACACAGTTGCTTTTCTGACTCTACACACATATTAACAATAGCATTACTACTGGAACCCCATCATTACCCTGTCTAACTCTTAAGTTGTCTCCCAAAACCAGGATGCTCTATAGATGTTACCTCGTAGTCTCTGAAAAAACAAGCCCTTAAAAAATTAGTTCTCATACTTACTTTATCAAATTTGGTCCCACATGGATTATTCTGCCTGAAGTATCTGGATGGAAATATATCCAGTCTGGTTCTAATGAACAGCACTTCATTTCCTGTATACCATTTTTTGCCTGAAGGAAGAGAAGACTTAGATCCGATTAAACTGGAAAACTTCAGCTCCCACCCATTAACATCTGAGTGGTTACAGTACTAGGTAGAACCATATAGATACTACAAAAAGTTGAAGCAGTAGTGGAGTTGAGTCAGGGGAATATACAAACCCTTATGGAACACCAAGATTTAAAGAAATTCCATCACAGTGGGTTGTAAAATTGTTTAGTATATAATGAACAATGCCTTTAACATGATTAGACCTGTTCCTACTTCTCCTGAAACTACACACTGAAAATTAAAAACCTCGCCTTTAGATACTTTTAGTAATTCAAAACAAAGTGAGCTTTGACTTGAAATGAGATCCATGAGAAGCTTTTATTAAGGATGTGAATGAGTAATCGAGTAGTTGATTACCCAATAAGCAGGAGTTTATCGGGTAGCACCCTCGCCTACTCGATCATCCCCTCTTCCTACTGCTTTTCTGCACTATTAAATATTTCCATTGTTTTGTGTTGATTCTTCTGACAATTTTAGAAGCAGCATTGCAGGGCTATAGATGCAGCCAATGTTCCCTCTAATCTTCCACCCATGTGCAGATTTTTCTCATCTATGTATGGAATAAATGTTTTATGTGTACCAAGGCACATGCAAATGTGTTTTATGTGTACCAGTTGAAATAAAGACCTATCTGTGGACGCTCTGCTAACCAACTGGACAGTATCTGAATCTCTGCGTGGCCACACAAGTGCACAGATTATAGGGAACACTGGATAAAGCCCATTAAATAGGGGGACAATCAGCATATTAAGAGGGCATTGTAGGGGAGAATAGGAAAATCGTTATTGTTCCAAGCATTAATCAGATAATAGGACGAATGAGGCTACTATATAGATATATTACCAAAGAATTGTCTTTCAGAGCACAAATATGGAAGACTCCTTTGTGCTTTTTCTTGTTAGGAGTGATGATGTAATGCCAAGGGTATCCTCCAATTTGAAATGAGTTCTCCAGGGAAGACACTTCAAATAGCAAAGGTGGGGTATCTGTAAACATTGTGTAATGTTAGGATCATTATTAACAGCCTCATAATTCCATTGGCCTGTAGAATTCTAAATTCCCAGAAAATTATACATTCTTGAGAATTTCTAAAAGCTCAGCACAGTGTGTGAAGGCATTGTGCATAAAGAAATACAGTGCAGATAATGCCACTATGCTAGGCAGAAGTCAATTGCCTATGTACAAAAAAAGTCTGAACTCCCACTATCTTTCTATAATGCAAGGAAAACAGGAAAGGAATCACAATAAATGTAATCTGCAGTTTAGTTAATAAATTATACAAATGGAAAATCTTAGGATTCAGTGCAATAAATGGCAAACGGAATCTAGTTCTCCTTTCAGCTCACAAGGGCTGTGTCTACACTGGGCCACTTATTCCGGAAAATCAGCTGCTTTTCCGGAATAAGCTGCGAGCTGTCTACACTGGCCCTTGAATTTCCGGAAAAGCAACGATGCTCTACTGTACAAAATCAGCTGCTATTCCGGAAAAACTATTCTGCTCCCGCTCGGGCATAAGTCCTTATTCCGGAACACTGTTCCGGAAAAGGGCCAGTGTAGACAGCCCAGTAGTCTTTTCCGGAAAAGTGCGTCTACATTGGCCACAGCGACGAGGTAACTGAAGTGTAGGAGCAGTCTATAAGTCTATAAGAGTTAGTCTATAAGGTGCCACAGGACTCCTCGTCGCTTTTGCAGATTCAGACTAACCCGTAAGTTACATTCAGCACTAATATAACTATTCTCATAAATCCTCTATGCTATGGGAGAAGTATTTGCATAGCAACCTGTATCTAAATGGATACCAGAAAATTTTACAAATCTTTACTACCTAGTATTCTACAAATAATTTCTACAGCCAATAATATGAATACAGCTTTGGATCTGAAAAAACAGTCCTACATATCAGCACATTGTGATACTACAAAACAATCTGACAGGAAGAAAAGATTTTAGAAATTACCAGGGGAACTGAAACAGGTAGAATGTAATTACCTATCTTGGAGTTTGGCTAGAGCAATAAGGTTCACATCTTGGCTTTTGTAAAATATGCTGTGGTACTTTTAACGACAACATCTGGTTATGACTTCAGTTGATAACCTCCTTTGAAAGACTGAATTTACAGCAGTTAAGTGCCCTCTTGTGCTGTGTTGGGGCATTAGCTCAGTGCTGCTTTAGGGGGAAAATGCCACCA